CTTTCTTCTCCAAGCTCTTAGGCGACCATTGAAGCGATTCTTCACCAAAATCTCTTGGGTTAGTAACCCTTAACTTATTTTCTTTCATTTCCTTCAACATCTATTGAAATCCTAGGCCTAAAACATGTGATTTAAGGTAGAAAATTTGGTATTTGGGTAGAGTTAGGGCTTTTTGATTTTTCTTGATTTAGACCTCGTTTTGGGGTCGAATTTGAAAACAAATTATATATTTGGGCTCGTGGGTGAATGGGGGATTTGATTTTCGTCCGAACCTTGTGATTTGACCAAGCGGGCCCGGGGTCGATTTTTGAGTTTTTGGGAAAAATGATGGAAAAGCTATAATTAGGCATTAGGTTCGAATTGTTTAGCATTATTTGATGTTATGAAGTCATTTGTGTATAGATACGATTGATTGGGAGCCGAATTCGAAAGGAAAGGCGGTTGTTGAGGATTGAGTTGGCCGTGAAAGTTCGAGGTAAGTGTTTGGTCTAACCTTAGCTTGAGGGATTAGGAGTTGAGTCCTATTTGCTATGTGGAATTTGTTGAGTACGACGTATAGGCATGGTGACGAGTATCTATACGTTGGTGTCTAGCATGACCGTGAGTCTTTAAATTGTGAATATCTTAATTTCGTTGTATTTTTCTTGCCTTGGTGATGATTTCTATTTGTTGTGAAAAGTTTGTGGAAGGAAATTATGACCTTTGAACATCGAGGAGCATTGGCTCAAGTTATATTACACATTGTGAAAGTATATGAGATGATTGAACCCTTTGGAGCATTGGCTCAAGTGGTAAAGTGAGTTATGAAATAAAAGTGAAAGAAAGAGAAAGAGTTATTTAAATTGTTCCCTTGCCGGGATATTGTTGCTTATTGATTATTTTCCCTTGCCGGGACGTTGAGATTATTGATATTGTTCCCTTGTCGGGATTTAATTGTTTAATTGTGTTCCCTTGCCGGGATTCCTATTATTATCTTATTTATTCCCTTGCCCCTTGCTTGTGATTGTTGTTTGGGTGAGGAAGAGTGTTNTCTAAAAATGCAGATATAGGAGAAAGAATGTTACACCACAGGTAAATCAAGAACAGACGTTTACTTAAATAGTAAGTGAACAGCTGTACAGTAATTGAATATTCCATCCACAATTTACAGTATACTCTTTCTACCTTGGCAGAATTTGACATCCTCCTAGTAGTAATATGATTGCAACTTTTAGAAGTTTCATGAATTCAACTTTATTTAACCAATCAAATTTTAAACTTTCACGCGATGTGTTCTATCTGATATTAACTAGTAATGTGATGTACAAGCCAAATGAACATATTAAACTCAACCCCGACCGAATGGTGTCACGTAAATGAGACAGAGTTAGTACTATGTAACACACCTTTATAACACTGTGAAGTAAAGATCTTAGCGTCTCCTACGTGGAGCTATAGCTGGCATAAGATTCCCCAGGAAGAAAGCTTGCCACAACCTTCAGCAACATTAATAGGAAAGAAAAAGTGAGTTAATTCCGTGACTTACATTTCCTCCTCAGTGTAAAAAGAACTTCCCTGGGGGAGGAGGGCATAGTGAAACCAAAGTGCTGTAGATACCTTAACGGGATGGATCTCAAAATGATCAATGTAATACTTTTGACGTTCCCCGGAAAGGAACAATTCTCATTAATGTCTCTTCATCGAGGTTGAAATCAAGGGGCTGCAAAGAAAATTCAGTGGTATAAAGATGGAACAAACAGGATATGTAAGTATAACAAAAATATGACAACGAGCGAGTCACACGTCAATTTCCTATTCATATGTAAAAATTTCAACCAATTCATCACTACATAAGAAAACCCACAAAAACAAAATCCCACAATGTACTCACGGTATTTTTCTTAGCCTTTCAAGTTACCAAAAGTCTTGTTTAATGTAGCTCTAATAGACAAAACCCCACAATAAATTCACAAATACTTCACTTTTATCACACAAACAATTATTATTGCAAAAAAGAAACCCAATGATAGAACCGGTTCTTGCCTTCCAAGCACCAACATCAAATCCAATATTCTCACTTATTGCTTCCACACAACAAAAATTAGTGTTCCAACTAAGAAAAAACTCAATCAAAGAACCTTAGGTCAAAAACAGAGAAAGAAATAAAGGAAACAGACGGAAAACAATTCTGAATTTCATCATAAAAAAATTGAAACAGAACATAAAAAGTGAAGAAACATACTCTTGATGTAGCTGAATAATTCCCAGTGATCGACAAGAATATTGTTTAGCCGGACAATGCTTGATATTGAGCGATGAGTGTTTTAGGAGTTTAGGAATTTCAAGGTTTTGAGAGAGAGAAGGAGGGAGGAAGCGTTTGGAAAGCTAGGATAAGTAAAAAGTTTTTACTGAGAGAGGGGGGAAAAGTCTGGGAAGCGCGAAGTGAAAATAAAAGTTTTTGCTTATTTTTGATTCGCACCTGTAGTCTCCCGCTGAATGTGACTATTGGAGACCAGATAAATATCTTTTTTCAGACCAGATTAAATCCCTTCGCTTATTTAGGAAAAATACATTGCAAATTATGGACCGAAAATAATCTGGTCCCAGTAAGTATACTTATAGGACCAGATTTTAAACTCGTCGCTACATCTTTGTCCCTAATAACCCTTTTTCTTGTAGTGGTGTGCATAGCCCATGCCGTCCGCATGAGTCCGAGCGATCGGACCCGGGTCATCTAAAATTTGCTGGCCCATAAAAAATGACCTAAGGAACAATAGTTATCGCCTCTCCATAAATGTTTCTCCTTTTTTGGTGTTGTCATCAATAAAACTGGAATTCCCGATTCTCAAATTTTCGTGTGCTAGACCACGCCATCTGCATGGTTTCGGGCGACCGGACCCGGATCACCTAAAATTTTGTCGGCCCATACAAAAGACCTAAGAAATAATAGTCATCACTTAGCCATGACCGTTCCTCGTTTTTTGGCATTTTAGGACCATAAAACTGGAATTTCGTCCGATTTTTAATTTTCGTGTGCTATAGCCCACGTCATCTGCGTGCATCCGGATGACCGGACTCCAGTCGTCTAAAATTTTTTTGATTCATTAAAAACGACCTAAGGAGCAATCTTCATTGCTTCGCCATAATCGTCCCTCAATTTATTGCGTTTTAGGGCCATAAAATTGGAATCCGTATGATTCCGAGATTTCCATGTGCTATAGCCACCACCATCTGCATGCATCTGGACGACCAGACCTGAATCGCCTGAAATTTTACTGGCCCATCCAAAAAGAGTAAGGAATAATAGTCATCGTTTCGCCATGATCGTTCCTCGTTTTTTGGCGTTTTAGCGCCATAAAATTAAAATTCCGTCCGATTCCCAGATTTTTGTGTGCTATAGCCCATGCCATTTGCATGCATTCGGGCGACCAGACCCGAGTCGATTAGAATTTCGCCAGCCCTTCAAAAGCTACCTAAGGAACAATAGTCATCACTTCGCAATGACCGTTCTTCGTTTTTTGGTATTTTAGAGCCATAAAACTAGATTTTCGCCCGATTCCCAGATTTTTGTGTGCATAGCCCACGCCTTCTGCATGCATCCGGGCAACCGACTCTGAATCGCCTAAAGTTTTGTGGGCCGACAAAAAACGACCTAATGAATAATAGTTGGCTAGCGTTAGGCCATAGATCCCAAATTTATTTTGAAAAATCTGATTTGAGTGAAGTTTGGTTTGAAGATGAAAATGTGTTTGGACATACGATTTCAAAACATATTTTCCAACTTTATTTTGGAAAAACATGTATATAATTCCCAAGTTTTGGGATTTTGGCCCAAAATAAGCTCAATAGCTGATTTTGGGATTTGAAATTTGGGATTTGAGATTTGGCCAAAATATGAGCAAAATTTATGTCCAAACACGAGTTTTGAAAATAAATCCCAAATTTATTTTGGGAAAACTCATGGCCAAACGGGGCCTTATTGCTTCGCTATGTTCCTCAATTTTTGACGTTTTAGGACCAAACTATTGGTTATCTTTTGTCCACATGGCACATATCAAATACCATTGAAAATTAATGAGCAAAATAGTATTGGAGGGGATCCAATCCCGTTAAAGTAAACCAGATTAAATGAAATAAATTATCGGCCAAATCCCTTGAATTATGAGCAAACAAAAGGTATAAAGCAAGTCATTTACTTTGGAATATGACATTAGATTTAGTACATATGGTGCACAAAAGGATTCCATTATCAATCTAAATCACCTTTCTCCTATAAGACTGTTGGGAATCAATTCTTTTCTTTTCATGACCTTATCTCTTCAAAATAAATCTATACTCTTTTAATTATGTCCTCGATTTAGAAATCACCAATTTTATTAATTTGTTGAGAATAAAACTGTTAAAACATAAACAAATAATTGACTGCCTACTTTTTTTTAATTTAAGGATCGACTAATTTATGTGATACTATTTTTTTTAGTTCGTATATAATGGAATGACACATTTTTATATTTAAAATAATTTAACTTTAATCGTCTTATTTATTCTTAGTGACATGGGGTTATAGTCACATAAATATCATGGCATATTTAAGACTGTAAATTTCAAATGTCACATAAACTGAAAAGGATGGGGTATTTGATAATTCCGTTAAATAGCTAGTAAATATCTTTTAGATTTCTCGATTAGCAGTTTTAATGACTAGGACAATTTGATTAGTAAATGAGAATTAGATTCTCAAAAAGGGCCTTATTATGCTTTTAGTTCCACCATACATGTGTAGGAAAGAGGAATAACATTTCTGTTCAGCTACTTTTTAAATAGTATTTTGATTCATTTTTTATATTATTCTTTTTTTGCATTTTCAAAAACTGCCCCTAAAGTTAATTCAAAATCTAATTTATTTCCATTGTTCCAATTGTGTTATCCTAGCTAGCACATTGGCTGCACTTAGAAAAATTCTTTTGCCCAAAACTTTTAAAGATTCTTTGGACATTTAAATACAAATCTTTATAAATAGCCTTAAAATCCTTTACTAACTCTTAGGTAGAAATAATTTTACAAAATAGCCATGAAGGTTCTTGTATTAGGTTCATGGCTTTGCCTCATTATATTCTTGCAAACTTTGCCATACTCCACTTGCAAATTCACCCCAAAATCCACAAATCATGAACTTATCTTCCCTAATGAAAACAAAGAAAAGAGTAAGTTCTTTGTCTCCGATTTTCTTCTTCTTCTTCTTCTTCTTTTTTTAGTATTTTGATTAGCAGCCACTAATGCTTGCATTATGGTAGACCAGTGACGAAGCCACATGATCACCCTTCGTCGAAAAATTGTACTATGCATACAGGCAAAATATTACGTTTTAGAGGTATATAACACATATTAAACATCCTTTGTCGGAAACTTTTTTCACTTCTTTTAAATTTGAACACCCTTGAAAATATTCCTAGATTCGTCACTGTGGTAGACTGTCTATGTCACACCCTTTGAGGTGCCGCCTTTCTCCGTACCCTACGTGAATACGGAATGCTTTGTGCATCGGTCTGTCCTTTTTCATTATCATACCTGAAAATATTTTCAACTAATACTAATGTATGTCTTCAAAATAATTTTTTAACATGATTATTTAATAATAACTGCCTATTAAGTAACCATAATCAATTTTAAATCGAAGCAAACTATGTCCTTATAAATAAACAGGATTTTGATTCAAGATCTTCTCTAAAAGGCTAGCTTCATGTTTCATCATTTGGTTAATTCTTGATTTTTTCTTGGCTTTCCCAAATTTAATACTAGTGTAAATTACTTATAATTAACTAAATGAATTGTATGCAGTTGCAAATAATGAATGTATGGATGTGCATAAAGTTGTTCATCAGAGAAGAGGAGTATATGGTGGAGCAGACCTTCTTCGCAAAGGACCTAAAAAGAATGAAGCCAATTACATATTTGAAAGGCCAATTTTAGTGTCTTCTTTCTTCTTGTTTCTTTTTGTTGCCTTCACTCTCTAAGTTTTGCTATAGTTATGATAGTTGGAAAAGATTGGTTTCTCTCTTTTGCCCCTTTTAGATATATTCTCATTTTTTTTCGTTGAGTGTTTTTTTTTTTTTTTTGGTGAACTTTCAATCAAATAACTCTCTAATTCATAAACATTTGTATAAAATATTTTTTTATGACGGAGAAATCCATCTGAAGCCGACCTTTTGGGTCGACCAGAGCCTTTGAAACTCAGGGATGACAGGGCCACCCTTCTACCCTTCTTCAGTTAACTACCAGAGTTAGTTTACGTTGGCACCCAGCTCGAAGCTGTGACCTAAGACACAATTACCTCAACCTTTGCCAATTGAGGAATTTGTCTTCTTAGACTATATTCAAATATCTCACAAGAACATAATAAGATGATAAATCAGATTATTCCAAAGTGCAAGAACAATAAAGAGATGAAACAGAAGCTACACTTGTCAAACAATAAAGAGGAATTAAATGAATCCCGAGCAGTGGCGGAGGCAGGATTTTTGCTAAAGGGTTTCAAAATCTTTGTGAGGTTGCTGGTCCAACCCATTGACCAGTGAGTTATGCTTTTAAGCTATGACAAAGGGATCCAAAATATAATATATAGGGGCACAAAATAAATTTTGCTTTATATATATAATGTAATTTTCCGACGAAGGGGATTCGGTGTTTCGGCCCCACTAAATCCTCCCTCAAGTCTTCATGCACCAAAGGGTGAAGTAGATAATGCATTAAAAGTAAAATTAAATCCTTCTCCCTTAGTTTCATTTTGTTTCTCACTACTCTCTCCGTCCAAATTTATGTAACATTCTTTCCTTTTTAGTTAGTCAAAAAAAGAATGACATTTCTTCCTTAAATTTTGTGGCAAGTCAAACTATGCCAAACTAGGCCCCAAATGCATCTTAATGTATGAGTATCTCTATTAATTGTTAAAAATTGTTTACAATTGACTTTTGAGAATTTTTAAAAAAGTGATCACTTTTGTTTTGTTAATATTAAAAATAGATTGTTATACAAATAGCCGGCCAAATTTAATATTTACCATTTCTAGCCGGTATACATAGATTTATATTGATTATACACGTCATAATATGTTTTACATGAATTATAATATGTTATACATCCTTCGGCTATTTTTATAAGTTTAAGAGATTAGATGGGCGACTATTTGGGTTAATTATTCTTTTAAGAATTGATAGATGAAATAGTGATATTAAGAATGCAAAGACGATTATTTTCTAAGTATTTCATGAAAAGTTAGGAAGTAGAATATTATAAGTGCTACTGTGTTAAAACACAAATAGAAAAAAACTGTTAGAAAAATAAAAGAAACTGGAAAAACAGAAGAGTTTAAGAAATATTCCGAGTCCACAATTTGCTTGTGTGTCCTTAAGGAATTTTAACCTCCTCACACGTTGCCAAGGTGATGGATTAAATCCTCCCAGGATAAAACGGAATAAACCTTCCTGCAACAGTGGCAATACAAACTGCAGGATACCAACGAACTTAAAGAACGGAGCAAAATCACACTTACGAATTTGAGAGAGAGAGACTGCGAATTAGAATGCGGTATATTCAGAAAGAAAGAAGTTCTGGAGTGTTTTTCGTGTGTAGAAAATGGAGCCTTGCCTCAGAATTTATAGGCAATTATCAGAAGAGGTATCTGGAAAAGGTGACTTTTCGGAAGAATACGCTGCCTGCCGCGGTTCTACCGCGGTCCCGGCAGAACCGCGGTCAGAGAGGCTTTCTGAACCTGCCTGCCGCGGTTCTACCGCGGTCGCGGCAGAACCGCGGCCGGAGAGGCCCTCTGAACCTTCAGCAAGGTTCCGGCGTATTTTCAGCAGTGATTTGGCATTTAATTAATTATTAAATAAATTTTGTCCAAAAATAATCTTATCGATCATTTGACAAATCCAAATCCAAATCCAAATCCAAATCCAAATCCAAAGCCAAAGCCAAAGCCAAAGCCGAGCCGAGCGAGCGAGCGACGACGGCGCGAGGGTTCATTCTCTTCAACTCCTTTTAAGAGCTTTAAGAAGTGATTCTATATATAAGCACACAAATATGGTTGTCCCTCACCAATGAGGGACAAAGTGCAAGACAAAAGATTCACTTCTTCAAATTTTCAATTTCCCTCCATTTCCAATTCACGCTTCTTCTACTTTAAAGCCCAATGGCTTAAAGTCTAACAATTCCCCACATGAATGAGAATGCCTGTATCAAGAAAGATCATAGATAAAAGTATGTGATTTTTCAAATAAGGATTAATTGCATCTGGATAAGTAGGTTTCCCTTTGAACTTTCCGTAGTGAACATATGTCGGATATACTCGGTCAATCGGTAGATTTGATATCTTTGAACCGTCGAACTTTAGTGTATACCTAGACAACCATATGTCACACAACCAACCCTTAACCGTCTTTTGGTTCTCATTGTTGTGTTCGTTTTAGCCATGAACACCGCCTGGTTTCATAAGTGCGTAGAGAATTGGCCTTACAGAATTCTCATTGAAGCGGCTTCCACTTCACACTTACATAGGTGATTCCTAAATGTGTAATCCTTTAGATTGACACTATTTGATAAATACCTCATCAAACTTAGGTAATCATTAAAGAACGTGTAAAGTTCTATCCTTGTTACTGAACATTGTCTTCATCACGAGAAGGGACCAAACATTTTACTTTGACAATGTTGAACCGGTCAATCACAACTTTGTTTGAGCTCCTTGAACCTAGATCTCGGAACATCCAAAATTCTAGGTAGAGTTACCGCCATGTTGACTTGTCCTTGGCCATAGTCCCATTTCCTTAGATGATTTCTCAACTCCCTCTCTAGTTAAGCCTTTTGTAAGCGGATCCGCCACATTATCCTTTGATCTTACATAATCAATAGTGATAATTCCACTAGAAAGTAGTTGTCTAACGGTGTTATGTCTTCGTCGTATATGACGAGACTTTCCATTATACATAACGCTCCCTGCCCGTCCTATTGCAGCCTCACTATCGCAATGTATGCAAATAGGAGCCAAAGGTTTTGGCCAGAACGGAATGTCTTCTAAGAAATTTCGAAGCCATTCAGCTTCTTCACCGGCTTTATCCAAAGCTATAAACTCTGATTCCATTGTAGAGCGAGCAATGCACGTTTGTTTGGAAGACTTCCAAGATACTGCTCCTCCACCAACAGTAAAAACATATCCACTTGTGGACTTTGTTTCTGTTGAGCGGGTTATCCAATTTGCATCACTATATCCTTCGATAACCGCAGGATATTTATTGTAGTGCAAAGCGTAGTCTTGGGTATATTCCAAATATCCCAGAACTCGTTTCATTGCTACCCAGTGATGTTTGTTGGGATTACTTGTGAATCGACTAAGTTTACTTATTGCACAAGCTATATCAGGTCGTGTACAGTTCATGATGTACATTAATCTTCCCAACACACGAGCATACTCCAATTGAGACGTGCTTTCACCTTTATTCTTTATAAGATGATGGTTTAAGTCAATTGGAGTTCTTGCACTTCTAAATTCCAAGTGTTTGAATTTTTCAAGTACCATTTTCACGTAATGTGATTGAGACAAAGCTAGACCCTAAGGAGTCCTCTGGATTTTAATTCCTAGAATTACATCGGCAACTCCTAAGTCTTTCATATCAAATTTACTAGCAAGCATACGCTTAGTAGCTTGAATGTCGGCAATGTCTTTGCTCATTATTAACATATCATCTACATATAAGCAAACAATGACTATATGATTTGGAACGTTCTTAATGTAAACACATTTATCACATTCATTCATCTTAAAGCCATTGGACAATATTGTTTGGTCAAATTTCGCATGCCATTGCTTGGGTGCTTGTTTTAGTCCATAAAGGGACTTAACAAGTCGACACACCTTCTTTTCTTTTTCCGGAACCACAAACCCTTCAGGTTGGTTCATGTAAATTTCTTCCTCTAGATCACCATTTAAGAAGGCTGTTTTTACATCCATTTGATGGATTTGAAGACCATACAAGGCGGCTAACGCTATTAGCATTCGAGTGGATGTAATTCTTGTTACCGGCGAGTATGTGTCAAAATAGTAAAGACCTTCTCGCTGTCTAAATCCTTTGACAACAAGTCTTGCCTTGTATTTGTCAATAGTACCATCGTCTTTCATTTTCTTCTTGAAAATCCATTTAAAACCCAATGTTTTGTTACCTGGAGGAAGATCAACCAATTCCCAGGTATGGTTGCTCAATATGGATTCTATTTCACTATTGACAGCTTCTTTCCAATATTGTGCTTCTGAGAAAGACATTGCTTCCTTGAAGGTACGAGGCTCATTTTCTAGTAGGAAAGTCAGAAAATCTGGACCGAATGAAGTAGATGTCCGTTGACGTTTACTTCTTCTCGGATTTTTCTCATTAGGCATACCATCTATTATTTCCTCCCGAGGTCGTTTTGACTTTTGGTAGGTCAATTTACTTTCCTTTTTATACAGATAAATAGTTTCAAAGAATTCAGCATTATCTGATTCTATTATCGTATTAACGTGAATCTCAGGATTTTCTGATTTATGAACCAGAAAACGATATGCCTTGCTATTGGTTACATATCCAATAAATACACAATCAACCGTTTTTGTACCTATCTTAACCCTTTTAGGTTTAGGAACTTGTACTTTAGCTAAACACCCCCACACTTTGAAGTATTTCAAGCTGGGCTACCTTCCTTTCCATTTTTCATAAGGAATGGACTGTGTTTTATTATGAGGTACTCGGTTGATTATTCGGTTAGCTGTAAGTATAGCTTCCCCCCACAAGTTCTGTGATAAACCAGAACTTATCAACAACGCATTCATCATCTCTTTCAACGTTCGATTCTTTCTCTCCGCAATTCCATTAGATTGTGGAGAGTAAGGGGCAGTTGTTTGGTGAATAATGCCATTTTCCAAACATATTTCTTCAAAAGGAGATTCATATTCGCCACCCCTATCACTTCTTATTATTTTGATCTTTTTGTTTAGTTGTGTTTCAACTTCACTCTTGTATTGCTTGAAAGCATCAATTGCCTCATCTTTACTATTAAGTAAATAAA